ACGTAGTGTTCGAATTGCAGGACAATTTCGGATTGTTGAAGATGGACGTGGGCATATGAACACCCGCAACGTCAAGGTCTCGCGCACAAGTTAAATTGTAAATAAAAAGACTACTGACGTTTTTTGGTAACTTAAGCATTCCTGAATAAACATATTCGTCTGATATTTGTAATAAACGGCTCCGCTTCCTGATTACGCATATCAAAAAACCGATGGGTGATGCCGTTTTTTGCTAGAAGTTATTAAAGTGAGTTTCCTTCATTAATTAACTGCTGAACGGCATTATTCTTATTGGTACTAAACAGGTTTGTTTACTAGGATTGAATATCATGTATCCAATTGAACCCAAAACTCATGAAGCGTTGCTTTCTCCTCTTTTTTGGGGGGCAGGGGGGGGGAGAGGGGGAGAGAGGGGAATCGATCATGTTCCATATCTAACATCAAATTATTCTTCCAACAAAATGACCTCACAAAGATCTCTCATCCGTTCCGTAGTATATACTTTTGGCACATGTTCCTTTTCAAGAACATACCAAGGTCGACAGGTTACCATTCAACACTTACTTTGTAGGTCTTTATTACATCTGTTTGAAAGTCATGATCTGTCAGAGAATATGAATAATCACAAAAAATTCAAGAATGTCTTTAGTAATGGTATGAAACATGAGATGTACATATCAGGTTCTACATACAAGATAAATCGACTGTGCTTCGTTCTTAAACAGAAACTGCAATGCGGGAAGATTATCAACAAAGACAAGAAACAATGATGGTCATTTCTGACTCATTATTCGTCCCCAGCCGGTCATCCCCCAACCCCGGGTTTGGATAACCGGGAACTCGCATTCAGTCTCCTTGGTCATCGGGTAGTACATCTCCTCAGTTGATAATTCATATCTCGGATCGCATACGGTGAATCAAAAAACCCGTGCCATTGTGGTAGAATGGTTGATTTACCAATCAATGAACAGTCGGACTTTGCGCCCCGACTTATCGAACTCGGGGATTGGGATAGAGCAGGTTGACTGAGTATAGCTAGTAGACCGACAATGAACATCCCAGTCTCTTCCACGTCTTCTTCTGTGCTTCTCGTGCAAATTGCCTGCAGTATATCCTCTTCTACCCGTGAAATATGATATAAGGTCAGGATGTCGTTTAATTAATGAAATAAGACAGCATTTCAGGCAGAGTACGTTTTGTAATGGTAGAACACGACAGCTTAAAGATCATGAAGTAAGTTGCTTTTGCTAGGATTTGGATTTATGGTCGCCGTTTTAAGCGAAATTGAAGAAAATTATAAGTTTAGCAGCGACATATTTAAACTTTCTTAACATTCATGCAAACTTAATGCTCTCTATACTCTTCAACGATGACCAACTTCTAGTCCCCAAGTAATTAATTGAGAAAATAACTCGCTTTTTGATGGACATAATTCTATACATGCTGTCACTTATGCCTATCGATTTGTAAACACCTACCCAACTAGTTTGCCTTAGAAATATTTGTTATGATGTTTTTGTGGCAAAAGCAAATCCTGATTTCGAGTTAGTGCCAGGACGCCTAAAACCCGATCAAACACACGCCTTCGGGTGCCAAAGT